TATAAACGTTCGTATTATAAATGCAATACTTTGAAATCGTGGCGTTTTAAATTCTAATTAAAATTAAAGTTCCATGAAAATAAATATGTCCTGTACCTTTCCTTAAGGGCCCTTGATATAGATCAATTTTAACATTGCAATTTTGAAAATTTTATAAAAACAAACGAATACGACTAGGACAACATGGCTTGCACTTTTATATCTGAATGTTTCATTATGTATAATATGATGGTATTTATTTTGTTTCAATTTAAAATAAAAATATTTTTATATTACCCTGAAATAATATTCTATTAATTCTTGTCATATACGTTTGAGGTCCTTTAGATGTATTAGTGTTGTTAATAGAGATTTTAATTATTTATCTAATTATATCAATTAAATAAAGTTTCTTGAGGGCGGTTTGTATAAAACGTAATGAAAGGTTAATGTAACATTTCTGTTTTTTTTTTCACAAAAAGAATTCTCTATAAAAAAAAATACGTTTGTGATTTTGTTTCATTTATGAGTACTCATGTTTAATTTCAGATTCCTGAGGCTGGTGATAACATTAACACAGATAGGGCAAAAGCAAACATTGAAAAACTACAACTGGGCAACGAGCAATTATTACCAAACTGGACTGAACTTACCGATGCTCCTGTAGAGGTTTTAATAAACAATGATGATGTAGTTGGGACTTATTTTGACCTGCAGCCGAGTACAAGTTACTTCTCTTCGCCTAACGATGGTTTTGAGGTTCCTATATACCTGGAAATAGGCCACGGAAACGCAAGTGTAACTTCTAAACCGCAGCTGAGCATCGATAACGTCCCTCAGGATATAGGCAATGTTGCACTGGAAGTAGTTCACAGCAATGGGGCCCTGTCAGTACAAAATACAGACATTGACATTGATACAAGAAATGAGAGTTTATTACAAGATTCTGATCCTTATTCCAGTGACGATTCTGTTGGAGATAAGACTTGGACGATATCTAAATCGCATGAGTCTAGTGATACTGAGTCGTTAAATGATCCAAACGATAGTGAGCTACAAGTACCATTTAAAAAACGGAAACGTGGAGAAGGACAGTTTCAGAGAAGTTTGCGAAGAGCCAGAACTAATGGAATACGGACCGGTACAGAATATGTCACACAATCAGGAAAGAAAATTTGTAGCAAAACACAGTTGCCTCTCTTACCTTGTCGATTAAAGTCTAATAGTGATATTGAAGATAAAACGAAAACGATGTATTTTCGTGACTATCGAAACTTAAAATCTCGGGATGAACAACGCCAATTTTTAAGTTCTTTGATTGAACTTGCCCCACCAAAGCGTAAGCTACAAGTATCACGCCGAAGCACAACTATTACAGCAAAATATTTTATCACACAACATTCTTTAAAAGTCGAAGTGTGTAGGGCTTGCTTTCAAGCCATATTTGTTGAAGGTAGAGGTTTTATCAATGGAATTATCAAAAAGAAGAAAAATTCTGACACTGATATTATACAGGGAGATAAATGAGGTAGGCACACTCCCTCCAACAAACGGTCAAATGAAGATATTAGTATAGTTCGTCCTAGCTTTCCGGCGTATGAGAGTCATTACTCGAGACGCAGAACATCAAGAAAGTATTTGGGTAGTGATCTGAATTTGGAAAAGATGTACAAATTGTACAAGGACAATGTAATACCTTCAGAATTGCAGGGATCATCGACTCCCGTAAGTTTCAGTATATACCGAAAATGTTTTTTAGAATTTGGTCTAAAATTCAAAAAGCCTCATAATGATATGAGTCTTAAATACTTACCTGTCTAAAATTAAGAATGTGATCGATGAAAATGAAAAATGTAGTTTGCAGTCGGAATATGATATTCATAAAGAAAAGGCCGATTTTCATTACAAATGTAAAGCAGATGATAAAATTAGATCACGCAATTCTGAAGGAAAAGTACTGATGGCTGTATTTGATCTCCAGCAATGTCTTGCTACACCGTGCTTAAATACAAGTATCAGTTTTACAAACGTAAATTATGGACATATAATTTCACAGTAAGGAATTGCAATTCGAACACCACAAGCTGCTTTATGTGGCATGAAGGTAATGGTCAACGTGGTGCCAATGAAATTGCTTCATGTTTATTGAAGTTTATTCAGGATATACCCAACGAGGTTAAGCATATCATATTCTACTCCGATACATGCCCAGGCCAAAATCGTAATAATATTATTCCGTTGCTCTATACTTACGTATTTAATATTAAACCTTTTGTATTAACAATAGATCACAAATATTTGGTTCCAGGACATACGCATTTAGAATGCGACTCAGATCATGCCAACATAGAGAGGAAGAAGAAACAGTTCGATGGGGTAATTAGTGTGCCTCACGACTGGTATAATTTGGTGCGAATCAATAGTAAGAAATATAAAGTATATGAAATGAAAACGGAAGATTTTTTCTCTTTTTCAGATTTGTTGAAATCTAGCTTGTTCGTGAAAAAGACGAAAGATGAAGGTAATGAAAGCATTTCCTGGAACCAAATATTTTGGATACAAATAGCCAAAGAAGCCTTTGGAAAACTATTTTACAAGCGCAGTTTACTTGAAGATGAACCGTTTAAAATTATTGATATTAGAAGAGGAAAAAAGAATAACTATGACTCGTCAAATATTATTGTTTCTCTTGCCTATGAAAAACAGCAAATTTGAATCAGCCAAGAAAAATATAAGGACATTTTAAGTCTATTACCTTTCATAGACACACTTTATCATCCATTTTATAAAAACCTACCGCATTCAATGACGAAAAACGACGTTGTCAGTAATAGTGACGAAAGCGAAAACGATGCATAATAAGATATTTTTTTACATATTGGCATTTTGTATGCTAAATATTTTAATAAATAAATATTTTTGTAGTAATTCAGTTTTATTAATTCAAAAAGAGTTAAATAATTCCAACATAGGAATATAATAAAGTGATATCCTTTAACAATAATCATTTGGTCAAAACATGATAATTGTCATTTTTTCAAATTTTTCTTTTATTTTGAAACTCTTGTTCAGCTATATAGGGATCGTCAATTAAATTATAACATATCACATCGACTAATATATCTTTATATTATGAAAATTGCTAATTCATAGGTAAAACCTTAAACTCAAACTCCCATGAACGGTTTTTTGACTCTCCTGTAAAGTAGTAAAAATGTACATAACATCATCTGATCAAATGGTACAGATATATATTATATATATATATATATTATATATATATATATATATATATATATATATATATATTATATATATATATATATATATATATATATATACATATATATATATATATATATATATATATATATACACATATATATATATATATATATATATATATATATATATATATATATATATATATATTGATAAGGTTGTATTTTATTAATTTTATTTTTTATTTATAATAAATGTAATTTTTAAAATATGTGGTTCGTTGTTTAATTTAATATATACCTCAGCTAGCTCAATTATATGTTCTAAGCAATCTGTCACTGTGTGACGTCGACTCTGTAGGCTCCTGGTAGAGTTAAAAAAGAAATTAAACCAAAATTTACTTTAGACTTTTGATAAATTAACCCAAATGAAGCACGTTATTTATTAATATTGAACAAATTTAATATAAACAATAAAATTCGTCTGCAACTTGGGTTGCCTTTAAAAATTTACAAAAATAGGAATCGTTTAAATCTTAACGTGGTTTAGTGACGTGACAATAAAAATGTATTACAAAATGTGGAGACTCTCTACAAGTACCTAAAAACTAAATAAATATTGCAACTTTATAAAGTGTTTAAAATGAACTATAAAGAAAAAGAAAATGAACACTTTACTCCGCTGACTTGCACTCAAATATAATCAAAATTTCAAATGATCCCCAAAATTATTGTCCAACCTCACTTTAAAACAGTTCTGATTTCTTTAAAGGAAACTAACTACTCAAAAATAATCGGTGAAAAATGGAATATCAATCCTCTCTTCGGAAGTTAAGGTACGTACTATTCTATTTTTAATTTAATGATCATTAATATTTTCAATTTTTAAGGCCTATCGCAATTATGTTAATTCATGAATTTTAATTTTCTCAATTTAAATGACATTTCTATACTTCAATAATAATTTATAACCAAATGGTTCTCTTACTCACTGAAACAAATTTTGAGTATCTCTGCTGTGGAAAAACTATATTTTGATTAAACGATTTGAAAACACTCTCGGACTATCCACAGTTTTCGGGGCTCCTCTCCAAAAATTATCGTCGGCGTCTTCTCCAAAAAAACCAATTCCTCTTATTATCCGTTGCTAACAGCAACCAACGTTCTTTTTTTCTCTCTTCTATTTAAATATTTTAAACCATAAAACTGTCCTGTTTGACATATTTGTCAAGCCACATTACTTTCTCATAATCACTTTAATCACATCTAATTTGGGAATTTATAAAAAAAAAATGTTTAGATATAAAACTTATTCTATTACAATACTAATTTATTCTTTTCATCTCCACATCATTGTAATTTCTTATTTAACAAAACCCCTATTAATTTAGCTCCCACAGACTGTCAAATAAACTGTCAAGCAGTTTATTTCCTGACATTTATTAAAATTTCTATGTTTAAATATTTTTTTAAAATTCTTCTTTTTTGTTCTTTTTAAGGTTTAGACGATTCACCTATACACTAGGCAACTATACTATTCAGAAATTATTAACACTATACCAGGTAAGTCAAAATTAATTTATTTAACAATTTACTAATCTTTTTCTCTCTTTTATTTCAGAGTCGAACCCACATTGTGATGGCTTCATGAAATTCATAAACAACAAACTCATATAAAAATCCATTTAAGTTGTATATTTTTTAACATATTGAAATCATTTCAATATATATATATATATATATATATATATATATATATATATATATATATATATATAATACAATAAATAACTAGTTTACCTATGTCTCGGATACACTGCATCACTCTCACAAAAACTGGCCGATTTGTGTCGATGCCTCGGTTGTATTGTACTTCCGTTTAAGCTACAAATTTGCTTCAGTCTTTTCACGAAAGGTAACACCATGAAAAAAGCGTTAGCATTCACCCCCATTTTGGTCTTAGGTGTGGAATCCTTTTTGCTCGTCGGTAAGTCTGCGACGGGAAACCACGAGCATGCTTTTATTTCGCATCTTGTTTTTGGACTGAATTTCGTTGCCATAGGGATATTCTTGACTATATATAACCTAAACAAGTTTATAAATGTTATAATATGAATTGTAGCTAATTATAATAATTATTGTAGGTTGTTAATTATAAACCATAACCTAAACAAAATAAATTTCTTTCCTGTTATGGATTTACTACAATTTGTTCAAGAACGCTTAAATAATCATACTCAATATTAATAACACTCTTGACATATTTGTCTTACCTGACCAACTGATCATTAATTGTAGACTGGATGTAATCATCAGGATCTATATACTTGCTAATATCAAAACCGGTTTCCTCCAGCACCTCCCTGACAGCGCAATGAGCAGGATCTTCTTCTTCATTTACTTTACCCTTAGGGAAACTCCAGGAAGATTTAGCCCAGTAACTTTGGACGAGAAGAACGTGAGATAAATTTTCAGAAAGCATTATGGCCCCATAAGTAGGTACGCTTTGTTTGTACTCCTTCCATTTTTCCATAATCTCATTGAGTTTATGGCTCTCTGGTTTAAGGTGGGGGATGTGCTGTGTTAAAAATACAGGTTGTCAAATAAAACTTAATTAAAATTAATTTGTTTTGATGTGAAGATTTGTTAAAGCAACATTATTCAATAAAAAATGATCTATAAATTATTTTTACATTTTCTAATTATTTCTACCCTCATATTAATAGTTTTCTGACAAGAGAAGGCAAGATATCTTTTGGGCGTTTTGTGGAGGGGGTAGAAAAGTTGGTAGGTACAAAAAATTAATTGCAATGAATTACACATTACAAAAATTACGAATATTGAATGAGATCCAAAAGACTTAAGTAGTTGAGATTGTTGGTGTGTAAAATATTAATAAAAACACAAAATATTCCACCTAGGTGTCTATAAATATTGACATTAAACTTGTTTAACTGTTTGGCATTAGACTATTTTTATAGTTCCTGGTGCTTTGTTAATATTACTAACATTAATTTTTCTAAGAAAAACTAATTGATATAGTTTTTGTGCTAGGAGAGTGTAACAAAAAGAGTGGCTACTAGCAACAAGAATTTACCATCAGAAATTCACTGATAGACGACAAAAAAGAAGAGAAGCTTTTTAAAGTTTACTAAAACAGTTTCAACTAACTGAAGACGTAGATTGTGTGAAATATGTTTGAACAAAAATGATTGTAAATGAAGAAAATAAATTTCCTTAGTTTCACTGAGAATCAGCATAAATACTTGTATGAGTACAAGCAAAATTGCAAATACTTTTAAAATTATTGTTCATAATATAGGAAGAATTAAAAAAAGGATGCATCCATGTCATGCATGATTGCATCAATAGATTAACAAGGTTGGCTATAATAAAATAATATGTATAATTTGGTTGGTGGGTGCAGGAACAAATTCAGAATGATGCATGTTTCTTTGAATATAATTTATTTGGAGATGAAGATCCACAATATTAATACTGTATACTAATATATAGTATACACTATATTAGTATATACTAATACATAATTTCCACTATTACTCAATTCATAATCGACACTACATTCCTCACCCACAGTTAAACAAGATAGATGTTGCTTGTTTTTTGTGGTAATTCTTGGAGATATTAGACCTACTTTTTCGGGGATCACGTAAACAGATAAAGGAGGAGGGATAAGGTAAAGGAGGGAATTAAAAATGAATGCATAAGATTAAATACAGAAATGTTGCAATTGTCGTGTTGTATTTCTTGCAATTATGTATTGGCGTAGATGGATACCATTTTCTTGTTATTTTTGTTAAGCATTCTTTTGTATTTAATTCTGTTTGTATATTAAATGTCACTTCACTTTATGTTGATTAATTATGGTCATACAATTTAGATTTTGTATTATACTTAGTTGGGATGTGAATATTTATTATCTTCACAGTATAATTATCAGAGTTTTAGTTAATGGATATTTTATTAATAATTTACACACCAACAATCTTAACTATACTCAGTAATTTTAAAATATCATCCAACAATAACAAATTAAGTATCAGATTATGTTTTTCTTTATATTTGGGTCAAATAATTATGAATAACTTACAAAGTAAAGCAATTATGTATAGGAAATACTTAAGAAATAATAAAGTATCACAAAATAACATTTCGTTACAGTACTAAAATACAGGGTGTTTTATGTTAATAATTTTTGGACTTTATTAAAAATCGTTTTAATATGAATGAATTTCTAAATGTCAAATCTCTACAATTCTACAGGGTGTTAATGTTGCTACGAAATTAATAAAAAAACTTAATTACCTTTTACACTACCTTGTACAACATTACAAAACCTTATATTGCAAAAACGAGAACATCAAGAAGAGCCCAAAAATGTAAAAAAATATAGGGTGTTCCATTAAAAAAAAAAGATAAGGTTGTTCCACCCTGTCAATACGGGTGATTGTGTATATTTAAATAGGACAAAGTATGGTCCTATCTATGCTCCAACTTTTACCTTAATAATTTTATTTCATATCTCTTAAAACAATTACTAATGCTGCACGCTGTATATATGACTCTACAAATCATCATCATCATCATTGTTGCTACACTACAGCCCTATAAAAGAGCCTCAACGTTACGAAGTCTATTACGAAAGTCAGTTCTATCCATTGCCAACTTTTGCCAGTTTGCTGCACCTATTTTTCTACCATCCTCATCTACAACATCCCTTCATCTGAGTTTTGGCCTACCCCTACTTCTACTTCCTATAGGTTGTGACATAAGGATTCTTCTAGGAGGATTATTCTGCTGTGATCTTGCCAGATGTCCTGCCCATATTAGTCTTCTTATTTTTATAAGAGATACTTCGTCTTTACCACCAAATATCTGTGATATATCTCTCGTAGTTGTACCTCCTTCTCCAAACACCATTTTCACAGATGCCACCGAATGTTTTCTCAGGATCCTTAGTTCAAATATAAGCAGGAAGTTTTCATCTGCCTTGGAAATGGTCCATACCTCTGATCCTTATGTCAACACTTGTTGTATAAGGGTTTTGTATATAGTTATTTTTGTTTTTTGGCTTAAGTATCTGCTTCTCATATGTCTACTCAATTCAAAATATCATTTGTTTGGTAGGATTGTTCTTTCCTTGATTTTTTCCATCATGACATTCCCCTTGGTGATCAGGGAGCCTAAGTATGTGAATTTGTTCACCACTTCAAAGGTAGAGTTATCAACCGTGAATTGGTGGCCGATGTTTCTGGCTCTATTGTTGGGTGTTAATGCCATTATCTTAGTTTTCTCCTCATTTACTTACAGGCCCATATTTTTTGAGGCATTTGACAAGGTGGTATACATCAATATCCCTACAAGTCATAATACTGAATTCTTTATAAATTTATAAAATTTTAACCAAGCAGTATGTTAACTACCCTTTTCTATAGAATAAAAACTTTCCAGTTTTGGCATTTCCTCCAAAATGAGTAATCTCAAATTTTATAATCAAAAGGAACTTTGCAAAATAGATACCTGATTTTTATGTGTTATTTAAATATAACAATGTCATACTAAAACATCTTAACTATCACAAACTGATATTAACTGATGTTCAGGATTTGCAAGGGCTGTGATGCTATGACTACACTACAAAGTTTTATTACTACAGTATGAATTATACTACTAAAGTATGAATTCCGCAAAATTATTGAAAAATCAAATTCGAAAAACTGAACTAACCTGAAATACATGAGCGGCAAATTCATAAATGCTACAAGCTTTCAACCGGCTGTCATTTCCAACATAGAAGTCCAAATAGAACCAATGAGCCAATTCGATTTGAAAACAAATCCTTATTAAATTCTGTTTGGCAGATTCTGGCACACAGATTATAAACCTCCTGTAAGATGTATAAAAAAACTTAAGTGAATAAATAATCATATTCAAAAATTAAAAATGCCTAAGGTGTAGACACAAAACTACAGAAATACAGGAACCAAAATCATAACAAATATAGAGTTAATAATACAAAGATCTTTCTTTAATTTTTCTTTCTAACTAAAGCAATAATGTTATATTGATCTAAATAAAATAAATAATATTGATCTAACATCTTGTGTTGTTTTCTTACAGAAAATACTTCTACTTTCTACATACTATTCAGGGTTTCTGATAGAAGTCCCTTGCTTGTATTCAGGGTTTTTTTTATGTTTCTTTACCTTATGAGATATTGAGTTGGCTAAGTATTTAATGTGTTATCAGGCTATTTATGATATATCTTGGCATGCAGACAAGCCCCATTTATATGGGAGGATGTTGCCTCTTTAGGTAATACAACTATCTGTGATTTTTTTTGTATCTTTAATATTAAACTCATATCTGGTCTCAATTGACAATATGAATGGGTATCTACATACTGGTTTTGGCAATAGTTGTAATTTTATAGACAACTACGTAAATAGCATCCAAGTTCTGAGGTCATATTATTTCAAATTACTGCGTCACTGTCTTTAGATTTATTTTATTTTTCTATCTGTTACTTCACAGAATATTTTGATGTTGAATTTGACCAGACACAGCCTTGTTGCTGGTATAACTAGAAGAATTCTTCTATGATTTTACTGTAATTCATCAAAACTGAATCTTCTTTACTTACTTATGTTTTCTTCTTTATTCTGGATTGTTTAGACTACTGAGTAAAGATCATTGCACCTGTCTGACTTAAAAAATTGCTCTACATGCTTTTTATCAACTGTAAGATGCTAATGGGGTATAACCAGTTAAACCAAAATATGATAGTTATTAATATTTACAGTATATTTGAATTTGAATAAAATAATTGAAATCCTTCACAATCAAATCAATACATTAAATAAATTCTAACTAGATTCTCTCATATGCTAATCCAAAAATATCTACAAATATATTTTCTTTAAACCTCTATATTATAATAACATAGTTATATAATCAAACATCCAATAATAACCACTGAAGGTAAATACTTAAATTGATATGTAGGGTGGATACTGGTTCAGATCATAACCTGTTAATGGCAAATTTTGGATTTAAATGTGAACTAATAATATTCTATAATACTGTAATAGTAACTGTAAACTAATCCTATCCTATCTTCGCTAATGATATCCTTATTATGAGAAATATGCTCAGAAACAGATGTTGCATATAAAAAAACAATTATTGTTAGCACATACCACAAACCCTAAGAGACTTGTGTCATTGTCATTGTGAATAGTGTTGTGACCAACTCCGAACTTGATCGAATCATTTCAATTGTTCATTTGTTTCAATACTTTTCATTGCTGTTTAAAAGAAATAATAAGTAACTGATTGGTTGATCTGAATCGACTGAAAACCAAGAGTATTGCTTAAGGTATTTTATATGTGTATTCAACTTCATTGTCTTTCATATGTTTATGTTAGTGCGAGCAGGACTTAGATAATGGACAGTTGTTAGTATTCTGATTGTTATTGTAACTTTTGTATTGTGTTTTGGTGTTAGTATATATTTGGTTTTTTCAGGTATCTAGGAATATATAGGTATTCAAAAATGCTGTATTGGCTATGTATGAAAATACAATTTTGCTCAATTTGGTTTGAAAAAGTGACTGCTTTACAATCTATATTTTCATGCAGTGTTGTTTATGTAGTTAGTCATAATTTTCAGAGAAATTTAAGTCAAAGAATGTTTCTTTTTCAAATTCATTGTTGCAATATTAAATAGAAATATTAACAAGGGTTTATTTTTGGCTGTATGCATGATTTGATTTAATCTTGGTTAAGTCTCAAAATTTCAGAATAACCTAGATTAAAACATATAGTACACATACTTATTAAAGTAACAAAAAATGTTAAATGACAGTAATCTTTTTATCGATATGTAGGGGACCACTGTGTCTAATTTCTTTCTAAAATACTTGCTGTGATATTATTATGGTGTTGGTTTTAACATGTGGCTAATTCAACCTAATGGCATATATGTTTTCATCGCAAGTGAGGAACAACAGGATTGAAAGTAATGAGAGTATTGGCTATGAGGTGGGATTTTCTTTCGGTTCTATCTGTGCCATTGGCGATCATTCAATTGATTTTTGTCACCGCACAATCAGATCGTTATGAACTAGACGGATTTTGGTCATTCAATACTTTGAAATGATTGAATCAAAACAAATGAATCAATCGCTATTGATACAACACTAATGCTGATATGTACTATCATAGATCTCTATACCAGCTATGATTTGTTAATAGATATGAGTTATTTTCCTGAATCTTCGTAATCTTCTGATAAATTCTTCTCTTAATAGTGATGCCGAAATGATTTCTACACATATCCATGTATATGTGATGGCAAGTTCCATCTAGTGATAAAAAAAAGAGTGTGGAGAATAGTGATAAATGGTATGTTTTACAAAAAGATGAAGATAGTTTGTGGTAAAAAAACATTGGTTGGTAATAAACCACATGAAGTTCAGAAACCATAGAACATTTTTAATTATATCATAACAGATGAAATATTGGATATTGTTAATATATTCAACAATTATTATGATGTTCAAAAATAAAATGTGAAATGGATTGGAAATTAATGGATGGTAACAAACAAAACTGAAATAAAAACTTCACAGGGGCACTAATAGCAATAAGTCTCATTCAAGTACCACATATAAATATATAATGGTCTAAAGATGGGATGTTTTATATTAAATAAGTTACAAAATTAAGAACACATTTTGAATTTATGGAAAATTCTATATTTTGAAAATAATGTGATTTCTGATAACAGCTAACAAACAAATGTATTGATACTAGAAAAACTCAAAGTAAAAGATAGAGGGAATTGTTAAAATATAAAAAGTTGATGGTATTACCACAAGGAATTAGGACTGAGTAAGAGGAGGATACAACTAATTGATTGTGCAAATAGAAAATTTAGTTACGAAGCTGATTCTCAATTTTCAAACAATAATAAAGCCTGGCAATATTCTCGCTACAGACAAAACTATGGTACCTTTCAGAGAAAGACTGCATTTTTATTAGTACATCACTAAAAAGAATCATAAATATATAATGAAACTGTTTTTCCGAGGCTATACTTTCAATGTAAGAATTTACATAGGAAAAAATACATAAAAAGTAAATGTATCACACTTTGAAGCAGCTATTCTAAAATTACTTAATTGTATGACAAATAAAGCTAACCAAATATTATTTACTGATATCTCTAATTCAAGAATACCTCTTGTTAAAAGATTGTTAGCAGAAAATATAATGTATTGTGCGTCTCAGAAATGGAATACCACCTATTTTTAAGTGGTATGAAAAGATGAAGTGAGGAGGATATTGGAATAAAAAAGATGAAACAAGAATTATTAAGTGGATGGATAAGAGACCTGTGTTAATTATATCAAAGGCTTCAGCCCATAAAAAAAAAAAAACAAAAACACTTAAAAAAGAGTGCATACTTTTTCCAAACACGAAGGAAATGAGAAAACTCATGTAGAGGCTGTCATCAAGTATTAAAATTGTAAGGTTTATGTTGCCATAAAATATATAAAAGAGTTCCTTGGGTTATAACTTTTCGGTTTAGATAGCACTTGTCAGCCTGGATATTGTTTTAATATGACACAAAATTAATTAGAATTAGCAGAAACCCCAAATAATTTTAAATTGTGTTGTTTAAACTGACTTATTTATTTTATAAAAAATGTTTTGCTTTCATTAGCACATTTAATTTTATCCAATTACCTCCCAAAAAAAGTTTTTTAAGCTGTCTGTGATACGTGAGACATTGGAGGCATGTGCTGTTTAAGATTAAAGTGAATTAGTACTTATATAATAGTTTTATGTATGGATTATATAAAAAATTTATACTTCTGCATACTTTAGGGCACATGCCATATGTGACCCATAGACAAAATACATATACAATACATATCTTCCGGGCATGTCATGCAAGACATAGTAAATCAAATCGATACCTTAATTCGCATATAGGCTAACTCCAATATCATGAATTTTACAGGAAGCAGAAAAATATGAATAAGACCTAATCCACAATAAGTTTTCGAATTTTGATTATTATTTCAATTGAATAATGTATTCTAAATTAGTGTCAATGTAAAACTAATAAAAACTGAAGACAAATTACAATTTTATCATTAATTTTTGGAGATAGCCTTTTTTCTAGGTAAAAATAAAAACCGGATTTGGAGTTAACCACTTTTATTGCATTAAAAGTAAATTAAAACTATACTGTAAAAAATAATTAATTTGTAACTTAGGTATAAAAAATAATTAGGCTTTGAAACAATTTTACTTATTCATGGGGTAGACTTGAATAAAAATTGTGGAAGTCCACTGGAACAGTTCTTTTTAGTTCTTGTAGATCAATGTATTTTTTCTTCGTTATTTTTCGTCTCTCTTTGCATCTCCCTTCATTTTGCCTGGTCTGATAGCTTTATAGAACTGTACTGATTGAAAATTCTTAAAATAGGAATGATCCAGGTAGTTGACTTTATAGGGATGTCCCTTCTTTGCTTTCCTGCAGATGTCAATGTAGTCAGCTGGAACGTTAATAGTCCGGTTCTGTAATTGCTTCTTGATCATTGCATGCATACTATCTACTTCCATCTGCGTGTGTCCTATCTCCAAGTATTTGTGAATAATTGTGACGTTATTTATCATAGCCACATTGAGTAGGGCATTGCTCATTACAGTATTTTGGTTCTGATAGGTGCAACCGTCTATAAATAAAATAATTTCTGGATTCTCATTTGAAGCAGATAGTATTTTTGGGATTACGTTTTCTTGTAGAAACCTTGATACAATTGTGGCAAATTCGTCACCGTTTAAACCTCCTTCTGACTCGTTCCATAGAAAACAGTGACCCTGTTGAGTTTTTAAATCAAAAATGCATAAGTTATGTACACACAACTTTGTTTTATAATAGTGACTGGATACATTGGAGCGTGGTGCTAATAACACAGCCTGAAGATCTATTGTGAAGACATACTCTTTATTTTGTTTCTCAGTTTCCTTTTCAGCTCACGCTTCATTCTTTTTTGCCATGTGTACCTCATATATGTCTTTGGAAATATGTCCTAGTTTATAGCTATGACAAGTCTCACACATGTCCTTTTTGGGTTTAAACAGGGACACATTTTTCAAAGTGAGTGCATTAGAGAATGTAGCTATGGACAACGGTGACATATTTTTTGATTTACAGTGTTGGATATACAGATTATAGAATTCCTGTTTCGACCTGATATCTGTCTGCAGATATAGTTTAGAGGTTCTCTGCCTGCAATAATGTGATTCCATTTTGGGCATAAAATCGATAAAATCATTAAGTTCCTTTCTGTCCCTTTCGAACGGCTTTGATTTTGAAATGACGTTTTCTTGTTCGGCGCTTTGTGCTGTTTTCGAAGGTTTGTTCAGATTATTGGCTTTCCAGAACCAAACACTAGTTTTTCCGATGCAAAGTGTATTTAGAAACAACGTCTTACACACCCTAATCATTTCCCCGCTGCTCTTAAGTTGATATATCAACGTGCTTGTCCTTTTAGACTTTTCAGGATCTTTTCTATCTCTCGGTCGCTTTGTAGGAATAACCTTTATAAGTCCGTCTATATACACTTTTTTTTCTTGCCATGTCATAGACCAAAACTTATCAAAAATTTGTTTCCTAGCATCCTCCGATACAAGATGGCAGTTTAATACACTGTTTACCTTTCTGATGTATTTACAACGAGGTTTAAGTTTCTTGGCTGGTTTTCTTATATTATTAAGTGGTACCAAGTTTTTTTTTCCATAGTATGCGAGTCCCTGTTCCCTTTGTTGCATATTTTTGTTACTTTGCCATTCTTGTGTATTTACTTCACAGCGCTTTTTTCTTTTGACTTTCAATTTTTCTGTTTCTAATTCAGATTCAGAATCACTGTAAGTAACTAGACTTTTTAAGTCATTTTTTTTTAAATTTTATTGTGTACAGTGGGTGTTAGAGATTTTTCGGGTATGGGTATTTCTCCATCGTTACTATTTATGTCAAAATCGTGGGTACCATTTTCAGGTAGTAATAATTTTATCTGCCTATCAGAGCTAAAGTTTCTTGGAACCTCATTATATTTAGATTCATCAGTTGGTTGCTTACATGATATTAGGGAAGTAAATTCATCTGTGCTATATTCAGAAGTTAACAAATTTACGTCTTCAATATCAACAGTACGGTCAATAATAAACACTGGAAAATCAAAAGACAAAACTGGACTATTCGTGAATTCAAGATCTTCTATAGAATTATGATCATGTGAAGAATTTTGACCATTTTCGTTTGTAAATACATTGTCCTGTTCATTTGCATTAACTGCAAGTTGGAGGATTCTTTGTGCACGTGACATTATTCTGTAAGTAATAAGTAAGAATTAAAAATAATAGAAAAAGGCACACAATTTTGAATACTATTCACATTGGTGTGTTTACATTTAAAATTACAAAATTTAAAAGTATAAAATACGATAAGTGGGTACTATAAATTATCTGAGTTTTACTACTTATTATATTTTATTTAATTTTCAAGTTAAATCATCATATTATTATTAGATAAAATTTATAGTTTTTTATTTGAAGTGATGCCAACAACAACCTCAACAGATAATTAGGATTTGTGGCTAACTCCACGATATATTAAATATATGACTTAGAAAAACGGATATCTCCACATACTAATTAAAGCAGTAAACTAGTCACTAAACGTATCTTTTTAATACAATATTGTTAGTACTTACCATGTAAAAGCAATCCTTTCGCATAAACCAACAATATTTCAGCTAGAACATAAGTTTGAGACTAATAAACGAGACGAACAAACTACCACTGTTAACGGCAACGTTGTACTGCCATTGTTATTACGGAGTTAGCCAATCAAAATCGACAACGCTGGAGTTGTTCGATTTTCCTACAGCCTGTTGTAAGGCAACGGCTTTTAATTTAGGAGTAATTCGTTTTGGAACGGGTAGGTAGTGTTACAAAGAATCAGTTTCAATGAAAAAGTCGATTTGACCAAAAAGTGGAGTTGGCCGATTTGCGAATTAAGGTATCGAAATGCTAAACCTCAGTAACCAAGGAGTAAAATGTTGAATAGAAAGATCTGAAACCAATAATTTCAAGGAGACACATTTCTAGAGAAAATTTAGCTGTTACAAAAGATATTCATATTAAATTCGACAGCTCCTATTTTGACAATGTATGACCTATCTATGAGTTGGATTGAAAACATAATAATATAGTTTGATGTAGCAAATTTCAAACAAAAAATATTGACATTAAGTACAAGACCAAATAAACTTTTGTATATTTTATACATTGCTATCCATACATTTCTTTTCTTATATAATGCACACATCTTAACAATTTAATAATGATTTACTAATATTATTATGTTGTTCTTTTTGTAAAATAACAATTAAGTTACACATTAACAACCAATTGCTGATAACATTTATGCAAACTATATAAATATAATAAACAATTTAATAGCCACAATAATTATAAACATTGGTAGCTTATAGATAACAACTAATATTAGAGATAATGAATTTTATGTATACTTCAAGTCACATATTTCATTGCGTTATGTTGCAAAATATAATTACTCACGAATAGGAACCTTTTTAAATCCGAACTATTTAATTTTAATTAGTGTAGGAACTATATTAGGATTAAATATTAATGAAAACAATTTCATAATCTTTGTGAATACAATATATGACCAGTTCATAGATGCTAAAAAGTATTTAACATAAATAGAAATCTAAATATGACAGCTATTTATATGGTTATATTAAAAAATATTCAAAACAAGTTCCTTCAATAGACTGACCTACCATAATAAGTAAACTGGTTCTATAAATAGAAAGAGATTTCATTTGCGTACAAGATGTTTCTATTGTAATTATGTTACATTTGTTTTATAAAATGTTTTATTAGCATTAGTGCTAAATTCTGTTACAATACATACTAATATCACGAAAACTCTTAAACATTTGGATATTAGCAGTTTTTTTTTTAATATAAAAAGCACAAACTTACGTTAAAAGGTCATTGAGAATATCAATTGGAATAGAATGTTTTACGGTTCTCAATTCCACGTTTTCTGTTTCACCCATTATTTTAGTATCACAATGTTAAAATCATTCACAATATATCAAAATAAACACAAAATATTACGTGAAATACATGAAAAAAGGCTTTTGCGTTTCGCTTTCTTTATATACGTTATACATTTTGTTATGTTATGAGAACTGGAATGGAACAGGAAAATTGTAGAGAAATCATAGAATTAATATTCTGTCACTTGTCATATCTGTATAGCAACCAACAGACACTTACGAGATACTAAAAAATGTTTTAAGCTTAAGATAATAAACTTGTATTAAACTACATCCATTAAATTATTCTTCTTCTGTGTTTGTCATCACGGCACCTTAAATCTATTTTTAAGTATAAATTATAATTTAAAAGGTTACAAAGTTACAAATCACCTACCCTAAAAACGTCATTGGTTACATGTATGGGCACAGATTATAAATTATTTTGTGGTATGGGTTACATGTCATATGTCATGTCAAAAGTCATTGTCAGTAAATGACAACTAATTTAATTAGATATACAAATATTACTTTTTTAGAAGTTTGATACAGTTTAATTTGTCGCGATTGTAGGTATAACAGTGTAACTGTTGGTATAATGGGGCGCAAATGTAATGTAAAAGGATGCCCGTCTGCTTCAAATCGTTCCAAAGATGAAGGAGTAACATTTCATAAGATTCCTCCTCATATGGATGTTAGACCAAAGTGGTTGTCTTTGTGTAGAATACCTGAAGATAAAAAGAATATAAAAATACTCTATGTATGTTCCAGACATTTTCTACGAGCTGATTTTTGTAATTTTAAAGGTAAAAAGTATATGCTTAAACATGGAGTATTGCCTAGTGTCTTTCCATGGGATAAATCTAAGTTGGAAGCTATTAAGGCAGTAGTTAAAAATGAAAAGGTAGTTAAAAAGGAAAAAACATCAGAAATTAAGGAGAAACCTTCCTCCAGTATTAAACCTGAACAAGATGCTTTACTAGATAATAGGATTCAAGAAGACAAATCTGATATTAGCCAAGAGAGTGACATAAGTGAAAATAAAATGATGGACGAAAGTATTGCAGTAATATCAAAACAGGGACATATAAAATCTGATACACAATCGCCATCATCTACTCCAGCAACTTTAAACTTTGCAATAAATTCAAATGTTGAAGCTCTAGATTTTAATAATGAATGGTATCCAGCCAAAATAATAGAGACAGATGAAGAAGAAAAGGAGGTTCTAATTCATTTTATTGATTTTCCTAGTAAACATGATGAGTGGATTTCCATGAATAGTTCTAGATTAAGACCTGCACAAAACATAGACTTGAGTTTTACTACAAATCCTCTTCCAAGCTTGGAATCAGATATCAACAAATCTTCAATTGTAAATACATCTCCAGTTGTAAGTTCAATATCAGGTGAAGTTGAAACTTCTGTTTTAACCCCAGCTTCAGTGATAAGTACAATTGAAAATGTCAGTACCTTACCTTCTACACCTACAGCTTCAGACACTGCTTCCACTGTTGGAAATGAAACAATTATGAAGAAAGAAGTTGAAGTGGAAACCTACATTATAGGAGAGAGATGCCTTGCTGCTTGGAGTGACTGTAGAAAATTCCCAGCTACAGTTTCTAAAGTACTGGAAAAGGGTAAGAACCTTGAACAGTGATTTGTCAGTGTCATTACATTTTTTTAAATATCTATTGTCAAAATTACATAAATTGCCAAATAAAACTATTTTCTATTAATGTTTCTACTTCAAAATAGGAAGAAATTGTTAAAATGCAATTTTAAAGTGATCTTTTTTAGATCATCTATAGACAAAGAATGGCTAAGTATCCCCAGTTTGTTGTACCTTAAAAGTGGGGTAAATTTTTTAGTTTTTGATCATCATATGTTTAAAAAGAACTAAAATATTTACATTTCTACTTGCATCTTTATTCACTATCTATGTGATAGGAATACATATGACATCAATTTTTCCTCTTTGGCCAACTACATATAATTATTTCATTTGGTCATTTCCTTAAACTGTCACAATTGTGTCATTAGTTGGAAATTAGTTAAGTAATTTTCAAATTTTTGACAATTTCTAAATAGTGATAACTTCTTGTCCATTTTGTAGAAGGTTTTTTGAAAAATAATGTGACAAACTTCAAATACAATATAGCATAAAATGCAAATGAGGTGTGCTATAAATAAGTTTCAAATAGAATATAAATAACTTTTAGGAATGTTAACCCATGAAAGTATATAAACTAAGCAAATAAATTAGCAGTTATATTGCAGCATTAATTGCTGATATGTGAAAACCAAAAATGAAATAAGTTAGTAGGCAATGATAGAAAGATAGAAGGCAGAATGCTTTTACACACCTGAAGACAATTTTCTAATTACATAATGTTAATGAAAACAATGACAAAAGAAACTGTTGAATAAAAAAATACATTTTACTTTACTAAATTAGGGTTTTGAAGAAGTTTAACAAATTTACCACTTTGATTTGATTACATTTATTTATTTATTTATTGTATGGCACTTGACACATTTACATTTAAATTTACATATATTTTGTATAAAACATTACATATATGTTTACATTTTACTTATTTATATATTCTATCAACTCTAGAGTCGCCATTAGGAAATCCTCTTGCCTTGATAAGATCTTGTGGGACACTATTGTCCCACTCTGTGTGTGTTTATATCATATCAGCCCTCTTTGTGTGTGTGTTTTTTTCCTATAATGCTTTACGTTTAGTTTCTTTCGCAGAATTGCTTACAAAATTGGTTAGTAATTTTACAGTTTTAGTTTACAGTTTATGATGTGTTGATGAAGTACATAAAGGATATCATTATTTCCTGAAAAAAAATTACAATTTAGGTCTATTGGAAGGTTTATCTTGTAGTGAATTAAGTTTTTAAACATGTACTAATGTACCCATTTTACCACAACTACAATGTGGATCGTCTGTAATTTTCATTTTGTGCTTATAATAAGGTGTTAGTGCATGATTAGCACGTACTCAATTTATTGTGGCAACAAAGTTTCTGTTTGGTATTTTGTGAAACCATGTTTTTCTGGGAATGTTTTGCTGGTGTTTACTAAAGTTTGTTCTGGTTGTTGAAGCGTTGTATAGGTTTTGCCACATCTCATTTATTTTGTTTCTTTGGTTTAAAAATAAATCGGACAGGGGTAGTTTAAGATGTAGTTCTTCTCCTGATGTTGGGGCTGTTTTTGCTAAGGCATCTACTATTTCATTACCTGTTATACCTGTGTGTCCCTTTACCCATAGATATATGACGACTTTATTCTTGATGTGGATCTCATTATGTAAATACAGGATATTTGCTTCAATATGATTAACTGATCTATTTATGTTTACTTTTTTAAGTTTATCTACTGCACTTTTGTTGTCTGTACATATTATGAATTTGTCATGGTTAGAGCCGAGTATGTATTTCATAGCTTGCACTATTGCTGTTAATTCTGCAGTGTATATGGAAGCTTCCTTTGGTAGAATAAATTTTTTGTCAGCATTTTCTTCCAAATGGTAAAAAGCACAGCTGGTATATTCTTTTGACTTTGATCCATCAGTGAATATAGAATCATAATTTGGTCAGTATTTGTTTTTTGTTTTGTTAAACTTTGTTTGATTGATACTTGCTACTTCTTGACTTTCAAAATAGTAGGTTCTAATTTCACATGAAAAAATTTGTTCAGATCAGTAAATTAGAACCAGGGGGAATTGGTTTGAATAAAGTATATCTGTAATGTCAGGTATTTCTGAGAAAGTTTCTACTATGAGGGGGGTTTTCTTGAAGTGCCAGTGTCTATGGGTCAAAACTTGAACTGTTAGTGATTGTATACTATTGAGGTAAGAAGTTTTTTTGGAAATGGTTTTTATCATAAATTTTCTACTCAATTGTTGTCTTCTTAGTTTAAGAGGAGGTTCCACGGCTTCAGCTTGTATAATATTTATGGGTGTTGACTTAAGATATCCCAGGCAAACTCTTAAGCATTTATTTTGTTGTATCTCAATTTTATTTAGATGTGTATCTGCTGCAGTTCCACAGAGTTGACTTCCCTAATCCATTATTGATCGTACCATTGTTTTGTAGAATAGTAAAGCCGTATTTGGATCTGCTCCCCACTTTGCCCTACAAAACGCTCTTAAAATATTTATAGAATTACTTGTTTTTTGATAATTTGGTGGATACAGTCTTTCCATAATAGTTTTCTATCTAGATACAGACCAAGATATTTTACAGAGTTGCTAATACAGATTTTATATTTTCCTCTTGTTAATGGTCTTTGATAGTTGTTTCTGTTTCTAGAGAAAATACATATATTGGTTTTCGATTCGGATATGGAAAGTCCCATGTTGGATTTCTATAAATTCAGTGTTGATATTTTCTATACATTTGTCCTCTGACTTGTTACTGGTGTAAATAACAACATCATTGGCGTATTGAATAATTTTGGACTTAAGTGATATAACATTTTCTATGTCCATTCTGTACAGGCTGTAGAGGATTGGGCTCAAGATAGTACCTTGTGGTAATCCAGATCTACATATTCTTGAGTCTGAAACTTCTTTATTTATCTTTAAGTAAACTGATCGATTAGAGTAAGCTGATTTTATGAAGTTGGCAAAGGAGGTTGATAGACCAATATTGATAAGCTTCTCTTCTAGTATATTTATTTGAACATTATCATATGCTGAAGTTATATCCAAAAATGTAGCCAAAGTGCTGTATTTGTGTATGAATCCTAGATAGATGCACATATGCTAGCATATTGTGAGTCAGGTAATATTTTTTCATTTTCTAGCCAATATTCAAGCCTGTTCCTTATCTTTTTTTCCATGGTTTTGAATATACACAATGATACAGATGGGTCTATATGAATCTGCATTTCCATTCTGTTTTCCAGGTTTTTTGATAGGTACTACGATGTATTCTTTCCACATTGGTGGAAAAGGAATCATATTTATCCAAATCGAATTGAACAATTCTAACAGGGCTTTCTTATGGCCTAAGGGCATTTTATGCAACATATTGTATGAAATGTTATCCAGAATTATCCAGAAGTTATGGAACCAATCTTGGAAGATGTCGAAAGTATCCAGGCAGCTTTCTGATTATAATAGCGAACTGGGAGATTCTGTAGTTTCATGTTTTTAAAAGCACCAGGATTTAAAACATTTCTAGTCAGCTGCAGTAGAAGGCTGCTAGACACATTGGCACAACACAACACTGTTATCTCATCTTTACTTTTTTATAAACCGGTGCACTCATCTCATTACTTGAAGCTAAGGTTTTTGTATTTATTACTCACCAGTATAACCCTTATAAATTTGAGAAAATTGTAGATTATTTTCTGTAATTAGGGTCTCCAGTTCATCGCAAAGTTCCACCATTGTTTCTTCATCGGCACCGAGCGTTTCGCCTAATGGTAAGCTTACGAATCCCGTGACGTTTTTCGATGAAATCGAATCGATGTAAATCAACCACAGGATGTACTGAAAGGTACTTTGATTTTTTAGTTATCATGAAAAATCGCTTGCTTAGCAAACATTGATATGCCCTCCGATCTTTTCTGCAGAAACCACTTGGAAAGTTCCTCATTGAGTTGTTGAAAAGTTGATCTTTTCTTTGATTTCCGTGCAGATATGTTTTTTTAAAGATTCAGACTAAGATATGAAATTTTGCAATTTCGCTTTGTTTTTACAACAGATTCTAGATAATGATGCGACACTTTCATCTTTTTCAATTCTGCCTAAAACCTCTATTTTTTGTTCATTCGGTAAAAATAAATCTCATTAATTTGGCTTAACACGTAGCGGCAGATGACAAGCGAATGATTTCCAGTGATTCTCTGAACATACAGAAATAACGTTATATCGAATATGTTAAAATTAATAAAGAAGCTATTAGACAAATTTTGCATGAAAAACGTGTGTGATAAGCTTGTGCCCAGATTCCTAACGGCGGAACAAAAGATGCATCGTAAAGAAAAAATTGTTTTGACACTCTAGAATGCATCCAAATGGAACCAGATTTCTTGTCAAGTGTTGCAACTTGTGAAGGAACATAGATTTTTGCACAGTGGAAAGTTCACATGGAGGGAAAGGAGAGATGTTGAGATGTTGTCGAAGGGCGGTGAAAGGCGATGTGTCGAAGGAGACAATTTATAAACATTTCTAGATAGACATGGTATACAAACAGTCTCCGAACCTACTGGTCAGATCTTGTATCCTAATTTTTTGCAAAATAATTACAACACGTAACACCCAATTAATCAAAATTTATACAGAGCAAGTTATTAATTTTTCTGGACATATTTGAGAATAACTTAAATCTATTCAATTCTACTTTAGAGCACAATAATCTTTATAATAACATTTTTATTGAATATTGAATAAACCGGTGATATTTTAAGAAAACATATCTTTATTATTACAAGTTCATATATGAATGTTGTAATAATAAAGATAGGATTGACAATACAGTGGAACCTCGATTATCCGTCAGAGCACCAGACCAAGAGTATGACGGATAATCGAAAAGACGGTTAACAGAACATTAAAAAATAATAATAAAAATTCATAGTATAACTCTAAAATTTTAATTGTATGTTTTATTT